CCCCAATAAAATGATTTTTTTTAAAATTAGGTGCCTTCGCTGACATTCGGGTCAGCTTATACTCGGGTGTATATGGTACTTTTCTATCCCATATTACATACTCCAATTTCAATTTGAAGGCATCCTAGTGGCAAATGAATTAAGCACTAACTAGGCTGGTAACAGAGTGATGGGCACTTCAAACGCATCAACAGTTCTGAGGAGAAAGTGAGGCGGTCTGCTCCTGTAACAATGTAGTGTCAGAAACCCTGTGGAATGGTTCTACTCTATCTCATAGGGTCACGATAAGTCAGAATCAATTCAATAGTGGTGAGGGTTTTTTGTTGTTGGTAGTGTTTATTGCAATCCACAAGGTCAGCAGTTCAAAACCAGCAGGCAGTCCTCGGGAGAGAAATAGGACTTTGTACTGTTAGCAGCTAGTTTCCAAAACTCACAAGGGCAGTTCTACCCTGTCCTATAGGGTCACTATAAATTGGCATTAACTCAATGGAAGTGAGTTTGTCTTTATTTTGTTGATTTATTTTTTTTATTTTTTTTTAACTTTTCTGCCATCCCTTACACTTAAAACTGGCTCAACCATTGCCATCTGGTCGATTCTGATTCACGCTGTCCCTATACACAGAGTAGAACTGTCCCATAGGCTTTCCCAAGATGTAATCCTTGGAGAAGCAGACTGCCTCATCTTTCTCCTGCCCACAAGAAGGCACACGCCTACCCTTTTCTAACTGCTCCATCTACTACTACATCTTAGCGTGCACCTCTGTGCCACACTGTTAGATGCTGCTTTATGGGACTGTCCTTACTTCAGCTAATTGCTAAGCATCACAAAGGGATCACTGTACCATAGAATAGAAATCAGGGCATCATTACATTTGCTTTTCTCCGGAAAACAGTAAGGGAAGTCTTTCATGAAGCAATTATACAATATCTTATCTAGAAAATGGAGCACAGCAGAGTCTGGAAAGTGTTCTGAGATGGGTGATCTAGGTATTAATTTTCATTTATCAAACCTTAACAATAAAAGGCATGGTGTTTTATTTGTTAGGTAATGAGAATTTCACATTTCTCATTCATTTGATCAATGTAATTGATACAAGCATACCTATCTACAGTAGCGAGAGCACTGGGCTGAAAGAATGCTTGCCCTTGCCTGTCCAGGCCCCGCTCTCATCCCAAAAGACTGTGTATGCTCACTTACAATGAAGTCACCCACGAGCAAACGATCAAGGGTTTGGCGGATTTCTGCTTTGGTCTGCATCTTCAATTTGTTGTACTGTCTTCGGGCAGCTTCAGCCACTCTCAACTCCAGTTCAGATTGATAACCAAAACCTGCGAGGGTGGAAATAAATAGGAGAGTGAGAATTTTCAAATGGCTGGGCAGAAGAAAACACTGACACATCTATTCTCCCCAAGAATCTCCGTCAAACTGCAAGCCATCCGTAACAGCAGCTGCTCCTTACTCCGCAGGACCTGCTTGCTACAGGGCAACGGGAATGAGGCAGGGGTGGGCTGCAGATGCTCCTGGGGGTGGGCGTAACCTAAAATTTCTTGAATCATTTTCTGATCATCTCTCAGTGACAGAACAATGAAGCTAAGACATTTACAGCCCCTGCTTTTAAAAGATTAAAAACTGGACCAAGCGGTAAAAAGGCTTCATTGTCATCAAGAGGGAGGGAGAGGGGTACATTTGGAAAAGTACTATTGTTTGGACAATACTGAGCAATAGATATGCTTGGTCTGCACCCACCATCTCCAGCCTTCCTTGGGACACAGGGAACCCATAAATGATACTCGACACCTGGCAGTATTAATGCTGCACCAAGGAAGTAAAACAGGCTATTGAAATGGAAATTCTTGGCCATCCCTCTTAAGGTCACTGGTCTAGCCTATGCTGGGTAGCCAAAGAAATGAGAAGAGTCCCGGGTGGTATGCTCAGCTGTTAACCAGAAGGCTGGGAGTGCAAATGCACCCAGAAGACTATACTTCTGGAAAAGCAGCTCTGGGAAACCCTGCGGGGCCCAGGTCTAGATGCTGACACACATCAGGTCACTGTGACCTGGAATGCACTCCACAGTAACTGATTTAATGGAATGGGAAGTGTTTTCAATGCATTCTAAAGGGAGGCAAGGTGAAGAGAAAAAAATCTCAGGATACTGATTTCTCTTGGAGAGATGACTGTCCCAGGCCAGTTCCTTTGATGTAATAACTCAGGCAAACCCTACCCACTAAGCCCTTTCCATCACTACCAGGCCATTCCAACACAGAATAACCCTTGCCCAGAAATGACCAAGAGAGTTTTTACAAAGGTAACAGAAAAGTAAACAAACAAAAAGGTTAACCTGAGGTATGGACCTTTCCCTTGTAGAAAAAGTCAACCACTTTTTTAATTGCCTGGGGGTTATAGATGATGTTTAAGGGCCTCGTGTTCACATTTAGCCTCCTCTCAGAGTGGCTGTGCGCTGGATTCCTCTCATACAGCATCTCAAAAACGGGGTCATTTTCATCTGCAGCTAATGGAGAGAAAGAGGGAAAGGAAATGGGACACAGCAAAACACATTCACCCTAGGCCTGTGAGGGATTCGGGGGCGGGGGGTAGATACTTTTCTAAATTTTTTTCCCACTTAGTTCTCAGTTACAGATATTTTATATACTAGAGAGCCTATGATAGAGAACGATTGTTTTCACCATGGTAACAGATGTGGTATCACTGCTCCCAGAATGGAGACCCGGGTCCTGGAGGTCCTGTGAGGTGGAGCACTGGCCCCAGTCACGGCCCAAGTAACAGCACAACCGAGCGACCACCAGGTAGTCTGGATGCACAGCATCCAGGATGCACAGCAGAGGCACTAGGAACAAAATGGGACCCATCCCATCTTACGGAGTGAAACTGTGAGAGCCGGAACTTGATGGGGCTGCCTTTGTTTTTCCAGGTCTCACACGTTTTCCAATTTTCCAGGGTGTATGTAGTCTTACCACTTACACATTGCTTGTTTTACTTATTTCACTTGTTACTGTGGTTTGGGTGAAAGTTTAGAAAGCATGTTGGTTTTCCATTCAACACTGTTTCATGACAGTGACTACAGAGCACCTCCACGCTGCTTCCTCCCATTTCCATCTGTCCTTTCAGCGTTCAGAGCTGTGTCACTTGGGCAAATGCTGCACTTCTCATCTGTTCAGTGGGTTCTTCTAAGGTATACGGACAGCAGGGCACCTCTCTGGGTTACTATTCACCTTATAGACCTAATGTTCGGCTCAGAGTTGACTCACAAGGTTGAGTTCAGTTCCAGGTTTGAAAAGTGACTAATGGTCAAGAGTATCCAAGATTCCAGCAGTTTCTATCTGACCAGTAAGCCTCATCTGTCTTATGACTTTGAATTTGGGTCCATGTTTTCCTTCTACTCTCTCCAGGATTGTGATACCCTTTCAGAGTTTTCAGTAATAACCATCTAGCTCTATCACTCCTCTTAACTTTTGACTCAAACATGGGAATTATTTGAGTTTTCCCCGAGAGGTTTCCACCTTCCATGGGCTCTAGCTTTCACAAGTTTCAATGTACTACTACTCGAAGGCAATTGGTCTAAAGTAATCAGATTTGTAAGAATTCATTTAAAAACACATGGCATGTTCTGAAGAACCCCTGGTGCCACGACTGCCAACTGACAGGCTGGCAATTCACACCCACCCCGGAGCTCCATAAGAGAAAGACCTGGCAATCTGCTCTCTGGTGAAGTTGATAGCCTAAAACACCCAGTTCCACTCTGCCACGTGGGGCCACCGTCAGTCAAAGTCAACTCAAGAGCACCGAGCAACAGCAATGACAGGTAACATTACCAGGGTAGTGGTCGCTTCTGTCTGACGATGCTGTTTGGAGACCAAAAGACTGAGAGACTCGGCCAACTTCTTTTTGCTGTTGAATACACATCAAATGCACAAATGTCAATGAGAGACAGGGTGGTTCCCCACACATACACACTCCCATTATAGATATGCTAGCTGCACACCACCCAACTGAAACGTCATCACACAAGAGACTGGGCACTTGCAGACTGGGCACTCTAGAATGGCTCCATTTTTCCCAGCCTAGGAGAATGACATCTTTCCCTTTGCCACCTTGCACTCAGCACATTTAATGAGCAATCGCCAGGTGGTTAATATACATGCATAGCTGTTCAAGCTTTAACTCTCTCTCCCTACCCACTTCACAGCTACCACTTCCGCCCACCCTAACCACCACCCGCCAAAAAATTACAAAGTGGCTAAATAGTCAACTATTAAATGAACTTATGGCTTTCTTTTGGAATGACGGAAAGCTGGTACTTCCTAGCAGTGACTGAGGTCGCAATGCATGAAAATGGCCATCAGAAACAGAGGAAAATCAAACATTGACCTCAAAATGCAGAAAACAGTGGCATTCTCTTCCAAATTGACCTAGGTACTTGAATCAAAGAATATGTTTCCATCATGACTATCACGCAGGAGGAGATGAAGGCAAAGCCACAATCTGACACTATTTGTCTTCTAGTGAACGCACAAGTATTATTGAACCCACTTCGCTATTAATCAAATTTAAGAATGAATCAAGTTCCTGTTGTGTAATGTTTGCCTGTAAGAGACACAATTCACCAACCCCCGTGACACATGAGTTATGTATCCACTGTTGTACACACTGGATTAGGGAAGACGAGAAGAGGAAACATAGTCCCTTCTGTTGCCAGGTCTCGAAGAAATAGTCCACCAAGCCGGACTAAAAGCAAAGAGGAATGTCTTCGAGGCAGAGACTCTGCTAAAAGTTTCACGTCTGCAAAAGAAAAACGTAAGAGTTGATGCTGCGATGACACGAAAGCCCAAGGTGTTCTGAAAGTCTTACGGACAATACTGCAGAGGATCTCATGAACTATATTTTCTTAAATCGGAAACAAACAAAATACCTATCTATAGTAATACGTAAAAATATCAGAAGCTTCCTAAGCAGAATGAGTTTTAAGCAGTTTACAATTATGTTCAAGCAAACTGCTAATTCACACACGTAGCAGCCCTACAAGGCAAAGTAGAACTGCTCCTTAGGGTTTCTAAGACAAATATTTACAGAGACAAACAAACAGCCTCATCCTTCTCCCAAGGAGTAGCTGATGGGTTCAAACTGCTGCCCACGTGGTTAGGAGTCCAATGCTTAACCTACTGTACCACCAGGACACCTTGGACACTTATTGTTATACCTTGAATCAGTCACAGAAAGGAGTGGAATACACTGGCTCCTAGAGAGGCACGGCACAGCAGGTCGCCCTCTGGGGCCGTACCTGAGAACTCAAGCTGCATGAACGCACTCTCGCTCATCTGAGGAGCTCCCTGCTCCCCACGCAGCAGCGTCACCGTGCCGCTCTGCAACTGCACATTCAGCTTGGCAAAGACATGGTCTCGCTTCGTGTAGGTACAAGAGCCATCTGCCGTGGGGTCAAAAAACTCATCAGTGCCTGCGTGGAGAGGAAGAAAAGATTCAGAAAACAGTGGGAGGAAAGGGCAAAGCAAATGAAGCACACTGATGACAGTTGGGATAACAGGGCTTAACTAGTACTCCACTGTCCTAAGGAGAAGCCTGAAGCCCTAAAGTATAGCAAAGTAGCCCCAGTGGTCCTAAGGGGAAGCCTAAAGCCCCAAAGTCAAGTAAAATAGCCCCAACTATCTTATGATGGCTCTTATCAATGTATTATCAAGCCAGAGAGGAAGGTCAGCAGCAATGTCCAATATAACACAAGGTTTTAAACTGCACTGTCCAGTCCAGCAACACAAACCACCATATGTGGCTATGAGCCACCTATAATGTGGCTCTTGGGGCAAATGCAACTCAAGAGATTGAATTTTTCATGCTGTCTCATTTTAACTCATTTAAATTTAGCTAGCCACTTGTGGCTGTGAATCCCTCGTTGGAGAGTGGAGGTTGAAAGCGTGAGCCGAGGCGGATAGGCCGATAAGCTTGCGGATTTAACATTGTTGGCACTTGCTCAAATTAAGTTCCCTTACAATAGTTGCCACTTAGACCCATCTGAAAGTGTATCGACATTTAGTATTAGAATAACAAATACCTCTCAAAACGTTCCCTTACTCTGTCTCTTACACTTTATGAGCATGAAGCAAGCTGCTTCCAAATGTTTTATTTTTATTTGAAAAATACCATGGGCCCTTGCTTCAACAGAGCAATCTAATGAATTAAGTGTCTCCCTTCTCTATGGGCAGGGGGAACGTCAAGGCCAGCTCCACTTTACCCAGGATCTCTTCAGGCATCCACTGCTCATGCTGCTCTGCTGACAGGCCTTCCACTGGTTTCCCTTCAGGGGTCTGCTGCCCGTACCAGCCTCCCCAGCCAGGAAACCAGGACTGAAGATACTGCAGCATCCCACTGCCACCACTGGTCTCTGGGTCTCTGGGCGAGTCTCCTGGGGAATCGAACTGAGGCTCTCGTAGACTCTGTGTCAATCAAACATGAGCAAGTATGAGCAGCTGTGACGTGCCGAGTGTCGTTGTTCCCACCCAGAAGCTGCCACACTCGAATGCTGGTGCACACAAAAGCTGGCGCACACAGAGGAGACTGCGTCGGAGCAAATCTTCCTAGAGATGATTTCTTACCTCAGCCAGTTCTTCTTGTTTATGAAACCGTTCATGAACCAGTTCACGCAAAATCTTCAGCTCCTCAAAGCTCTGTTCCTCTTCAATCCGACGCATTTCCTCCTGTTTGAAGGGGATAAAAAACAAATACTGTAGCCCCAGAGAAACAGGAGACCCACACAAACCATGAATAGGGAAGGAGTCTGTCTCATCCTCAACATTTTCAATGAATGCTTATTGCACAATTGATTCTGCTTTAAATAGCTTTTCCATAGAACCCAATAGGTTTTGGTCGAAAGAGCCCCACAAAAAGTGCCATATCTGGGTGAAGGGTACATGGTAAGTAGAAAATAAACAAAAGGCAGTCCTTAGCTTTCATGTTACAGTAAATGAGTGTCTGTGCTGGTGCAAACCTGGTGTAGCACAGACAGTCAGTCCACCATGTGCTTTCACACGCATTACGTCAGTCGTACTACCTCGCAGTGGGTTCAGTCAACATTATTCTCTCCTCCTTCAGAGGAAACTGAGGCCTGTGTTTACATAGGAGGTGTGTGGGCCTCCAAACGCTTTCTGTCTCACATAGGACATTAGCAAAAACAAGGTCACAGGAAGGTACAATGGCAGTTCAGTCACAAGCAAAGACACTAACATCCAACAGTAAGGAAAAGGAGATTAGGTGCTTACTTAATGACTGCAGTTACAATTCAGATTTTTATCCCTCCGTGTCCTGCCTGTATCTTTAAGAAAATTATCCAAAACAAAATGATCCTTTTAATAAGGTCTCTATTAATAAGGGTCCTATACTTCTCACTGGAAGGAGCCTGGTGGCCCAGTGGTTAAAGTGCTCAGTTTCTAACTGAAAGTTCAGCAATTCAAACCTTCCAGCTGCTCTGAAAGAGAAAGATATGGCTTGTCTGCTTTCAGATTCACAGCCTCGGAAACCTTGTGTGGCAGTTCTATCCTGGCCTACAGAGTCGCTATGAGTCAGCAGTGGGTTTAGTTTCACTCTGCATATTAAGATGTTCTGGTGACACAATGGCTAAGTACAGCTGTAAGGGGAGCAGTTCAAGACCAGCCGTCTGTGGCGAAAGATGTGACGGTGCGCTCCTGTAAAGATTACCATCTTGGAGACCCTAAGGGGCAATTAGTTCTCGGGAGCTGGAGTCAGCTAACCGGCAGGCAGCAGGGACTCCACGCACAGGTGGTAGGAGCATCTGTACACGGCTCAGGTGAAACCTCTGGATGAGAACACCTGCAGCTCAGCGTGCTCCCGGCAAAGCACCATTCCTTTTTTGGTTTGGAAGGCGTGGTGTTATTTTCTACGAGCCTAATATCAAGAACCTGGCTAATTGCTTGTGCCCAAATTTAGAAGACAATCTGTCTAATAGGATTTTGCAAAAAAAAAATTAATGCACACAAAACAAAATTGAATTAGGAAGCTAAGCAATCCACGCTGCCTTCCCCTAGGAAATAGCAGCTTGAGACCCAGTGGAGTCCCATGCATGCAGGGATGTTTCTGGCCCTACGGTTCAATTCAGTCTGAGCTTACCCTCACCACCTTTGCCTAACCTCCAAAAGACTCCAACATCAATCAAGGGATCTGGGATAGAGAAAACCCAGACCAGAGTCTGCAGAGACTAGCTACTGAATGTGGAGGCAAAGAATGACGTCTGGATCAGGCTTTGAAAAGACACAGGTGAGGGTATGAAAAAGTCTCTCCAAGGCGCTACAAAGAGCGTGGAGGAGAGGAAGGTACAGGTGCAAAGGCCTGGCAGGACAAGGCCATCTTTTCTTCCACCCACACTGTGACCAGGCTCTCCTCGGGCAGCTGAGGGTGGAAGACACTTCTGGCCAGTGAGGCTGGTGGCCTCCCAAGAGACGCAAGGAACTTGATGTTTTCCCAGATCTCATTTCCTTCTACCTTTGAGAGACCAGCTTCATCCTCTAAAGGACGATGAGAGACCAGAAACAACAGTCCTATTGTTTGGAGCCCACCATCTCCAATAGGAAATCGGGCACACCCTTGAACCCATATTTGATGTTTCAAGTCTGCTCACCTTGTCTTCAGCAGACAGCAAGGCTCCTTTCAACTTGTTGAAATACTTGTCAGTATAAGATACAGCATCACGGGCACGGTGCAACAAAAAGTCCCAGGTACAGCATTTCCTCTGCTCTCTGATCTTGTACAAGTTAGCATTCAGAGCAAAATACCACCACTCTCGACAGCTGAAATAGTCCATAACAAAGAATGACTTCTTACAATAACAACAACAAAAGGCTATCAGTCCACCCACTTCTCCCCTGAGACATCTTGTCTTTTGTCAGCCATCAGATTATGCCTTTGGGCCCAAGTTCATTTTAATACTATGAGAAACTCAACATGCATGTATGTAGGTATAAGGAACATAAACCTGCTGCCCAACACCATCAAATAATCGATTCCACACTTGTGCATCAATAACTATATAGTACTCAGTTGGTTTGAATCACCCATAACTGACACAAAAAATCAGGAGGCCATTGTGTACAGTATCATCTGAAGATAACTACTAAGGATTTGGCTCCTGAAGATTTTAAATGGAATACTAGGAAAGAAAATGGAAACAAAGAAGATTGTTAAATTTTTAATATATTGATGGTCAAGTTAGGAGCCTTGGTGGCATAGTGGTTACACATTGGGCTGTCAACTGCAAGGTCAGCAGTAAGAACCCACTCCCTGCTCTGTAGGAAAAAGATGAGCCTTTCTGCCCCTGGAGATTTACAGTCCCCCAAACCCACAGGGGCATTTCTATCCTGTCTTACAGGTTCACTATGAGTCAGAATCAACTCAGAATCGACTCAGGGCAGTGAGTTTGGTTTATCACTGCAATATGAAGTTTTATTTTTGCTCTGGAAGTTGGAAGAACCCTTGTTGCTCAGTGATTAACAACTTCTACTGCTAACCCAAAGATCAGCAATTCAAACCCACCAGCTACTCAGAGGCAGAAATAGTGGCAGTCTGCTTCTGTAAAGACCACAGCCCAGGGAATCCTCTGGGTCAGATCTACCCTGTCCTATAGGATCACTATGAGTCAGCACTGATAGCGGCAGGCTTTGTATGCGAGTTAGGACACTTACTATATAAATATGAGTAGTTGACCAAGGTAACCCGGGAGGAAAGACACAGGGAAGTAGGCTCAAAGAACACTGCAAAGTATTTACTACCTCAAGTAGACTCCCCACAGTAACACTGATTAGTGAAAACACAACAACAAACTCACTGCCATCAAGTCAGTTCTATCTATCTGACTCGTGGCAACCCTAGAAGGCAGAGTAGACCTACTCCTGTGGGTTTCCAAGATGGTAACTTTATGGAAGTAGAAAGGCTCATCTCCCCCACCCCCACCCCCACCCCCCAGAGCAGCTAGTGGTTTAGAACTGCTGACTTCGAGGTTAGTAGCCCACCATAGGTACTACAAGGACGCTGAAAAAACGACCTTAATTATACTACATCCCGTCGAATAAATCTGCCACTCCAAGGGATACACAATAAGAACAGTAGCAATAACAAACAAGAGTGGCATTTTAAAGACAAAAAAAAATTAAAAATCAGCTGCAGTTTTATCTTCAAAGGATAGTGGGAAAGAGTTCTGATGTTTTGCCACAAAAAACAGGGGGTGGGGCTGTAAAAATATGCTACAAAATATATCATTTCATATGCGCATTTAACGTGAAAGCTTACTTCGAAGATACTGCCACTTTGGGTTTCCATTTTCGGAACTTCACCTGCCTCTCCTTTCGTTCCAGCTCCTTGAGGAAGCCCATGATTTGCCGAAACTGCAGCTTTTCAGTGGAGGTTAAGAGAGTGTACATTAGAACGGGTTTGCTTCATTTACTTGATGCCCTTATTTCTCTATTAAGCACGACTCACATTTGCCAATCCAGTGAGTTAAAAATCTAGTGCAAACTGAAAGAGCGAAGGCTATCACCAAATGGCATTTCTCGCTGAACACTTGACAGTTGAGAATTTAAATTATTTGTGTTCACTGTATCTCTTGTACTCTGTTTAGCAATTAAAAACATCACACCAGAACCAACCTAGGATAAACCCAAGTTAACTATTTAATTGGTAGCAGGGTTTCTACCTAACATTTCAGACTGGACAAAACACTTTGACCATGTACTTGCTTTCCTACTGAGAATACTGTCAAAAAATACTATCAATGCTTTCCTCCCACCCTATTCCCAAGGCGGAGCGTGAGAGCGGCAAGCCCTGGGAAGGCTGCATGTACCTGAGAGAGTTTCAGGGGAATCGTCTCCAGCTGAATATCACACTCAATCCGGGGAGTGTGTCGGGACCTCAGAGGCTCTGTGGAGCAGTTTCTCTTCAAAAGGGCAGACCCACACACCGGCTCCACCATGTAGTGGTGATTGCGGCTCTCCATACTCCTGCCCATCGCCTCCTGCGTGTCACAAGAACACCTACTCTCTTCAAACGGTCTTTTTTTTTTTTGTAATTATGCTTTCATAAAGGGGGATTTATGAATCAAAATGAACAGACATGGTCAAATTAAGCCGTGCACGTGTTTATAGGATCAAGTTACATGTTGGCATATTACCTGATTGGTAGTACCAGTATTATATCAGAAGCCAAAGACAGAATTAAAGAAAATGAAAATACCTGAGGCTCTCTGGAAAAAAAAAATCTGCTGTTGAGTCACTCTGACTCAAAGCTCTCTAGCATTTATTTAATCAGATTTTACCTCTGAATAGGTTATACATTCAGATGGGTGAAATTCAAAAGGCAAAAAACAGTGAGCTATCACCTGATTCTCATGCTCCAACCACTTCCTTACCCATGATACCAGTGCCCTATGCATGCACTCCAGAGGTATTCTGAGCGACTCAGACAAATCCAGAACTCCCTACTTACTCAACCATTCTGACACAAATTATATATATGCTTCATGTTTAAGCATATTAGTATATTAGTTTAAACATGTTAAGCATATTAGTCTTAGAGAGTACTATAGTTCCATGATACAGGTCTTTGCCATTTTATCTCATGAAATGAACCAGGCCCCATTCTATACACTAGCATGCAAGCCAAAGATAATCTTGAGTGGGTAAGGAAAGTGAGTCATCGCTGCCCACCTAGCTTAATTGACAGACTATAATTTCTTGTATGACCATATTATATTATTTTTATAATGTAGTTTACTAAAAGATGAGACTGAGATTGGTGGCTGTACTTTACAAACAGTAATACTTTACATCTGATACCTTAGAATGAATTTCTAAAAACAAATCACAAGCTGAATAAATGCCCCTGGAACTGACGTTTTAACATGGCATCATAAGAAAATGCTTTTAAAATCAGATCTGGTGCTTATCTGTTTAAAATCTGAATGTCTGATGGATGGTGGCTAAGAAAATGAATAACTATACATGTTATATGGCACAGTGTCACAGTGTGTAGTTAGAACATTGATCCATCTTAAAAACAAAGCTTTATGGTGGGAGCGTGGAGGAGAGGGGAAAACAGAGAAATCTCTAGCAGACCAAACCCACTGCCATAGAGTCACTCTGACTCATAGCAACTCCATACAGGGTTTCCAAGGCTGGAAATCCTTACAGGAGCAGACAGCCCCTCCCCCTTTCTCCTAAGGAGTAGCTGGTGGGTTTGCTCTACAGACCTTGCAGTTAACACTCCAATGCTGACAGCAGCACTGGGGCTCTTTTAGAAAAATCTATAACATAGTATAAATTGAAAACATACATAAAGCAAAACACTATTATTGCAAGCTACATTCTTTGCCAGTAGCTCCAGCAAATAGGCTGGATGGGGGGGGGTGCCTATGGAGGAAGAGGGAGATAGGAACAGGAGCTAGCGTCCCCAAGAACAAAGCCCATGTGAGGGTGACCCAACAGTTTTCCATCAATGCTGTACTGTATTGCAATAAAATCCTCTCCTAGAATCATACCTGTAATTCCACCTGAGGCAAATCCCCCAATAGAGTGCAATTGACATCCCAATAGATGCTAAACTCGGCCACATCTAATTGCTTTTTCCGCATCAATTTCTGCACCTGAGAAAAGAAATAGGGGGAAATAAGTAGGATGATTCTCTTTATTTACAAATCTATTCATTCAGTCAATGGTCCATTTTGGAAGAATCAGGCATCAGGCCCTTTGCAAGGTTCTGGGGATGCAAAATTGGATGAAAACATGGTTTTGCTATTGTAGAGTTCAAATGTGAGTAGCAGGGCACACAAACTTGCAAACAAATCATTTAAATAAGCAGAGGGAAACAGGAGAAGCCTATTCAAGACACAAGGAGCAAACAAACGAGAAAATGTCCCTGTGTAGACGAGTGTGAAAAGATGTGTATGTTTCACAAAGGTTGGGATCGGAGGAAGAAATGGAACACTTTCCAAAGAGGAGGGTCAATGACACAAAAGGCCTGATAGCTTGGAGAATGATGGTGAGTTTATCTGAGCAACTAGGGCACTGTGGATGAATGGGGCACATGTACATGTATGAGGGGCTTCACAATGTTCATGGAAAAATCCCATCATCTTTTCCACAAAAATTTTGAGACTCCTTCCTATACAGAGCTGGCTAAGCCTTAGAAAAGCAGTGGAAAGTTACCAGGAAAGTAAATGTAAATCACAATAGGGAGCTTGGATCACTGAAGGTTTTGACGTAGGCATACACCACCATCATCACCATGCTGTTTAGAAACAATCCTAGAAACGGTGTAAAGCACAGTTTCCCCTCCATGTCGGACCTCTCTCCCAACCATTAAGCCAGAGAAAATGAGAAATGTGTGTGTCAAGATCACAATCAAGTTTATAGAATCAAGTTGCATTCAAGAGGATTTGGTCTCCAAATGAGCTTCAAGCAGCCTCAGCCATTTATCCCTGTGGGTGCTGTACGACCACAACGTGGGCATCAAGAGCCAGGGACAGAAGCAAGAACGCCAAAGACCAGAATCTTTGATTCACGCATACAAAAGCAGACAGGCTCGTGTAGGCTGTCACAGTGAGGATGATGACAAAAACCCACAATTGACATTTTTTTTGCAGGAAAAAAGTTGACAAGACACTGTGGCCAGACGGATATAAATAAAGTAAGAAGTGAAGGGGTGAACACAAAGCTTCAAGGGAGTAGGGGAAGGGACAAGCACGCTGGGTAACCGGAAGGCTATGTGAATGGCATGAGGGGATACAGTGAACTCTCGCCACTTCGCGCTTCGACTTCCGCGGCTTCACGCTATCGCGGTTTTTGCGTAACAGCGCATGCTCTGTCATTACTGCCACTGATTGGCTCATACTGTACACGCTTCTGTCTGCATTGCTACGT